CTGCTGATACGCCTCGAAGATTGGCAGAAACCCCTGTGGCGAGACGCCCTCTAGCGAAGACTGCTGGGGCACTTCACGGGTGCGTGCGGAACCGAGTTCCGACTGCAACTGGGCGGAGTCATTAGTCGCCATCCGGAAACAAACATCGACTAGCGAAATGGTTCACCCGGATGCCAAAGGTCGAGGGGACCCGTGCAGATGTTCTCAGTCGACATGTCCAGGTGGGCGTCCTCTCCATGCCCGAACCCACACATCTGGGGTCTCGATTTTTTCGAGACACGGGCCCCCGACCTCTTGACCACCTCCCTGGGACAATTTTTTCCTCCCGAGCTGGTTTCTGACGGCCCGAGGCCCAGAAAGGGCCCCGAGAGGCCGAAAACTATAAGAAATCTCCATCTCGATTTTTCGAGACGCTGGCTGTCTGAGAACGTCTGCGGTTGCACCTGATGATCGGGAACGCGCTGACCAGGTCAATGCAAACCCGGGTCAGTCAGGCTTTGCAGGATCCTGTGAGTTCCTGCGCGCAAGCCGAGGCCAATGCACCACTGGCTCTGCAGACTCCTGCAAGATCTGGCACTCTGGTTGACCTCCGTTTGCACTGACCCCCGTCCCCAAACATGCCGCTGACCTAATTCCCAACCATCCTGTGGTGTTGAGTCCTCGTTTTGAAGAAACGGTCCCCGCGTCTCCTCCTCCTCCCGTCCCCGCCCCCCCCCGCCCCCCCCAGTGGGGGTACCACATGCGTCCGCCACACCCAGTACAGCGCTTCGTGGCCCCATAGGGAGCTCTACGTAAGGCCTCAGTGGGGGTGGCCACATGCGTCCGCCACACGTAATACAGCGTTTCGTGGCCCCATTGGGAGCTAAACCGAAGGCCCTGGAGGGGGTAACACATGCGTCCGACACACCCAGCACACCGTTTCGTGGCCCCACAGGGAGCGCCAACGAAGGCCCCAGAGGGGGTACCGCACGCGTCCGCCACACCCAGTACAGCGTTTCGTGGCCCCATAGAGAGCCCCACCCAAGGCCCCAGTGGGGGTGGCCACATGCGTCCGCCAAACCCAGTGCAGCGTTTCTTAGCCCCATAGGGAGCGCCACCGAAGGCCCCCAATGGGGGGTACCACATGCGTCCGCCACACCCAGTACACAGTCTCGTGGCCAGTGGGACCGTCCGCATGCGTCCCGCGCACCCAATTTGGCATTTTCATCCACCCAGTGTAGCGCTTCGCGGCCCCAATCGGGAGCTCCACCGAAGCCCCAAGTGGGACTGCCCACATGCGTCCCGCACACGCAATTTGACATTTTCACCCACCCAGTACAGCGCTTCGTGGCCCCAATCGGGAGTTCCACCGAAGCCCCCAGTGGGACCGCCCACATGCGTCCCACACACCCAATTTGGCAGTTCCACCCACTCAGTGCAGCGTTTCGTGGCCGGAGCTCCACCGAAGTCTTCAGTGGGACCGTCCGCATGCGCCCCAGAAGCCCAATTTGGCATTTTCACCCAACCAGCACAACGCTTCGTGGCCCCATAGGGAGCTCCACCGACGGCCCCAGTGCTACCGCCCGCATGCGCCCAGTGCAGCGCTTCGTGGCCCCATAGGGAGCTTCACAGAAGAAGATATTCACAGTTACGGTACCCACAACTGCATATGGCTTGGTCCTTCGCCAGGATAATTCCCAACCCTCCTTGGTTGGGTATTCGTTTTGAATAGAGCAGTGTGGTCGCGTCCCTTCTTCTCCCGCCTCCCGCCCTCCCTGCCTCTTCCTGTCTTGCCTGCGGGGGGCTGCGATCTGTGAAACTGTCGCCATTTTCGAGGCCTGCTGGGGGGCCCAGCACAGTGAGGGCCACGGGCAGATTCAAATTAGACCTCGCCATCCCTGGGGGGCTGCGATCTGTGAAACTGTCGCCACTTTCGAGGCCTGCTGGGGGGCCCAGCACAGTGACGCCACGGGCAGATTCAAATTAGACCTCGCCATCCCTGGGGGGCTGCGATCTGTGAAACTGTCGCCATTTTCGAGGCCTGCTGGGGGGCCCAGCACAGTGAGGGCCACGGGCAGATTCAAATTAGACCTCGCCATCCCTGGGGGGCTGCGATCTGTGAAACTGTCGCCATTTTCGAGGCCTGCTGGGGGGCCCAGCACAGTGAGGGCCACGGGCAGATTCAAATTAGACCTCGCCATCCCTGGGGGGCTGCGATCTGTGAAACTGTCGCCATTTTCGAGGTCTGCTGGGGGCCCAGCACAGTGAGGGCCACGGGCAGATTCAAATTAGACCTCGCCATCCTGGGGGGGCTGCGATCTGTGAAACTGTCGCCATTTTCGAGGCCTGCTGGGGCCCAGCACAGTGACGTCCACGGGCGGATCCAAATTAGACCTCGCCATCCCTGGGGGGCTGCGATCTGTGATACTGTCGCCACTTCCGAGGCCCGCTGGGGGCCCAGCACTGTGAGGGCCACGGGCGGACCCAAATTAGACCTCGCCATCCCTGGGGGGCTTCGATCTGTGAAACTGTCGCCACTTTCGAGGTCTGCTGGGGGGCCCAGCACAGTGAGGGCCACGGGCAGATTCAAATTAGACCTCGCCATCCCTGGGGGGCTGCGATCTGTGAAACTGTCGCCACTTTCGAGGCTGCTGGGGGCCCAGCACTGTGAGGGCCACAGGCAGATTCAAATTAGACTTCGCCATTCCTGGGGGGCTGCGATCTGTGAAACTGTCGCCACTTTCGAGGCCTGCTGGGGGGCCCAGCACAGTGAGGGCCACGGGCCAGATTCAAGTTAGATCTCGCCATCCCTGGGGGGGGCTGCGATCTGTGAAACTGTTGCCACATTCGAGGCCTGCTTGGGGGGCCCAGCATAGTGACGCCACGGGCAGACCCAGATTAGACCTCGTTATTCCTGGGGGGCTGCGATCTGTGAAACTGTCGCCACTTTCGAGGCCTGCTGGGGGGCCCAGCACAGTGACGCCACGGGCAGATTCAAACGAGACCTCGCCATCCCTGGGGGGCTGCGATCTGTGAAAAACTGTCGCCATTTTCGAGGCCTGCTGGGGGGCCCAGCACAGTGAGGGCCACGCGCGGATTCAAATGAGACCTCGCCATCTCTGGGGGGGTTGCGATCTGTGAAACTGTCGCCACTTTCGAGGCCTGCTGGGGGGCCCTGCACAGTTACGCCACGGGCATATTCAAACGAGACCTCTCCATCCCTTGGGGGCTGCGATCTGTGAAACTGTCGCCACTTTCGAGGCCTGCTGGGGGGCCCAGCGCAGTGACGCCACGGGCAGATTCAAATGAGACCTCGCCATCCCCTGGAGGCTGCGATCTGTGAAACTGTCGCCACTTTCGAGGCCTGCTGGGGGGCCCAGCACAGTGACGCCACGCGCGGACCCAAATTAGACCTCGCCATCCCTGCGGGGCTGCGATCTGTGAAACTGTCGCCACTTTCGAGGCCTGCTGTGATCACCATTTTCGAAGTGGCTAGGAGTGCCCAGGAATTGTAACTCATCAGTTTTATCAAGCCCTTTCCTGTAGCCAGTGTCCTGCGAGTCTCCCGAATTCCGGCTGCAGACGTATGCAACCCTCGCTCCGTCATCGCCCCCTTATAAAGTATCCTAAACTATTTGCGCCCCGCTTTTGCGCAGGGGTTGGGTACGTCGCCAGGGTAATTTTTTCTGTGCGTGGGCCCCGGAGGTCTGGACCATTTCATCAGGGCCAGTCTCTCGTCCTGAGTCGTTTGTTGATGCTCCCGAGCGGCGCGGGCTCCCGGAGGCCGAGAACGACAACAAAAACGCCCGCTTACCATTTTATCGGAGCGTCGAATCTCCCTGAGATCAAAACAATTGCAGCATCGGAAAAACACGAACGGAGCCCTAGATCTAATCTTTCTGCGTCATTATCCTACAAACCCCTTCCCCGGGAGCTGGATCCGGTCGATTTGGAGGGGGGAGGTCTACCCGGGCCGGCTGGGCCGGCAGGGTGGCATCGACGGCCTCAAAACGGACCAGGAGGACCCCAAGACATCTCCAACACGGTCCAAGAAAACCCCGAGTCGCAGAATCAATGTTCCCAGACGCCCAAGATGGCTTCCAGACGGCCCAGGATGCCTCCATGACGCCCCAAGGGGCATCGAAGAGGCTTCCCAAGAGGACCCCAAGAGCTATGAAATATTGGATTTTCATAGTTTTTCCCAACCATCCTGTGGTGTTGGGTCCTCGTTTTTGAGGAGACGGTCCCTGCATTCCTCCTCTCTCCTCTCCTCCTCCTCCTCCTCCTCCTCCTCCTCATCCTCCTCTTCCTCCTCCTCCTCCTCCTCTTCCCCCTCCTCCTCCTCCTCCTCCTCCTCCTCCTCCTCCTCCTCTCCTCCTCCTCATCATCATCATCATCTCATCATCATCATCATCATCATCATCATCAGCATCAGCATCATCATCATCATCATCATCCTCCTCCTCCTCCTCCTCCTCCTCCTCCTCCTCTCCTCATCCTCATCCTCATCATCATCATCATCATCATCATCATCATCATCATCATCATCATCATCATCATCATCATCATCATCATCATCATCATCATTCCTCCTCCCCTCACTCCCCTCACTCTGGCACGCCCCCAGTAGAGCGCTTCGTGGCCCCATGGGAAGCTCCACCGAAGGCCCCCAATGGGGGGGCCCGCATGCGTCCGCCACACGTAATACAGCGTTTCGTGGCCCCATTGGGAGCTCCACCGAAGGCCTCAGTGGGGGTGCCCGCATGCGTCCGCCACACCCAGCACTCCGTTTCGTGGCCCCATAAGGAGCTCCACCGAAGGCCCCAGTGGGGGTGCCCGCATGCGTCCGCCACGCCCAGCAACCCGTTTCGTGGCCCCATCGGGAGCTCCACCGAAGGCCCCAGTGGGGGGGCCACATGCGTCTGCCACACCCAGTACAGCGCCTCGCGGCCCCATAGGAGCCCCACCGAAGGTCACAATGGGACCGCCCGCATGCTCCCGCCACCAATACAGCGCTTCGTGGCCCCATGGTGGGCTCCACCGAAGGCCCTAGGTGGAACGCCCGTGTGCCCGCCACACCCAGTACAGTCATAGGGAACTCAAGCGAAGGTCCCAGTGGGACCGCCCGCATGTGTCGCCTCCACCCAGTACAACACTTCGCGGCCCCATGGGGAGCTCCGCCGAAGGCCCCCGTGGCACTGCTGCGTCCCCCCCACCCAGTACAGCGCTTCGCGGCCACATAGGGAGCTCGAGCGAAGGTCCCAGTGGGACCGCCCGCATGCGTACCCTCCAGCCAATACAGCGCTTCGTGGCCCCATAGGGAGCTCCACCGAAGGCCCAAGTGGCACCGCCCGCATGCGTCTCCACAACCCACTACTGCGGGTCGTGGCCCCACAGGGAGCTCCACCGAAGGCCCCAGTGGGACCGCCCGCATGCGTCCCCCCACCAATTACGGCACGCCCCATCACGCGTTGCGTGGCCCACCCGAAGCGGCACCCACAACGCGTCATTCACAACTACATATGGTTGGGTCCTTCGCCAGGATAATGTTATTATGGTTTTTGGCCTTCCAGCCTTTTCGGGCTTCCGAGGCTTAAAGACGGCCCACAAAGCCTCCAACAACGTCTCCAGACGACTCAAGGGGCCCCCAGGTGGGCCTCTAGACAGCCCACGGTGGCCCTAAGACGGCCCAAGAGAGCTTCACGGCAGCCTCATGGCTCCCCAAGAAAGCTCCAAGAAAGGCACAGGAAGGGGACCACGAAGTGAAAATTCGCATTCTCCGCCCCCGAAAAACTTTTGTTTGAGACCCCAAAAGTTTTCCCAGGGGCTCCAAGAAGAGTCCCCCAAGACGCACCCACGACGCTGGGAAGAGCGCCAAAGAGGCCCCAAGTCAATCCCCCAGAGGCCTCCACACTGTCTCCTGGAGGTCTCCGAAAGGCTTCTCTCGTGATCGACCAACCCTAAACCCCTGGATGAGCCCACAGAAACCCACAAAACACACTCAGCGACGCATCACTTCTCCCCCCCAATGGGTCGGCGGTGTGGCGTAAGCCCAAGAATCTTTCTGCGTCATTTTCCGAGCCGGATCGATCTTTGAAGGTCCTGGGGCCCGATTCTGGCGGAAATGCCCGTTGTGAAAAAATAGCAACGCCCGGATCTGGGGGCTATAGGCTTTAACATCGGTGGTTTAACGATGAGGTTCTGAGGGACGGGTGCCTAAGGACGAGGTGCTTCGAACAACGTAAATGCACCCTCGGACACTTCGTACCCTCAGGACACCATCCCTCAGGACCCCATCTTTGAAACAACGCTTATACAGTAGGAGCTCGACCACACGAAACCTTCCAAAAGAAACCCAACCCTGAAACCCCAGAACGTCCATTGATTTTGATGTGGGAACGTCACGCTCTCCATGGCAAAACCGTCGAACCCCAAGAAACCCATGGCCACCCTGGAGGGAAGCAGGATGCTTATTGATATAGGTTTCCACTGTGCAGCTCGAGATCTCAGACATGCGGCGTCCTGTTTTTTCAAGACGGCGTCCTTGGAAATCCAGACCCTTTTCCCCAGGACCGGCCTTTCCTCCCGAGCAGTTTTTCGACGGCCCCGGGGCCTGGCGAGGCCCCCCTGGTGCCGAAAACAGCGAAAAAACACCCGTCCGGATCTTTATACTGCGACGCGATATCATGTCTGGGAGGAGGTCCTGTGCGTGGGCCGGGGGCCCCACGGCCAACTCCGCCCAGTTGGCGCAGCCCGCGCCCGGCCCCACCCGCGCCGCGCCCACGGCGGCGGCGTCCGGCCGGCGCGGCGGCGGCGGCGTGGTCGTGGCGGCGGCGGCGGGCGCGACCGTGGGCTTCCCCTGAGATCCCGTCGCTGCAACGTTTTCAAACGGGGCGTTTTGCCCTGAGGGTGTAAGCGGGTCGAAAAGGTGGGTTCCCAGACATGATCCAGTCGTTCAAAAATCAGGACGGCCGGTTTCTCGTTGTCTTCGGCACCGGGGGGCCCTTGCTGGGCACCGGGGCCGTGAAAAAACGACTCCGCGGTCGGGACGAAAAACTGGTCCCGCGGAAAGGATCGGGACTTCCAGGGACGCCGTCCTGAAATAATCAGGACGTCGCGCGTCTGGGTTTACGTTGTTCGAAACACCTCGTCTTTGGTACCTCATCCTTCAGAACCCCATCTTTGAAGCACCGACGTAAGAGCAGTAGAGCCCTCATATCTGGGCGTTGCTATTTTTTCGCAACGGGCGTTTCTGCCCCATTTCGGGCCCCAAGGCCCTCACAAATCGATCCGGCTCGAAAAAATACGCAGATAGATGGGATTATGGGCTCTGGTCGCGTTTTTCCGCGAGGTGTTTTTTTTCGCAACGTCCGTTTTCAGGGATCCCTAGCCTACAAGAAAGGGTGCGAATTTTCCCAGCGCTCTCTCTGAAAAGGCTGCACAATTTCCTCTGGGGGCCCTCGCTGGGCCCAGGTGCCGCCAAAGAACGACCTATAGGTCGGCGGCTGGTTTGTGGCTCTGTTCGGCCCCCGGGTCCCGGGGGAATTCTCAAGACCTCCGGGGGCCCACGCATTGTCGACAAACATTGGGGCGCCGGCTGTCTGGGACCCCGGCGTCGCAGCTGTTCTGCAACGGGCAGTTTTTCCCCGTTCTGGGACCTGGGGCCCTATAACGGACGGACGCGGCTCGACAAACGCCGTGGAGAAATGGGGTCCAAGGGCTCCGGTCGTGATCCCAAAGATCCGATGTTACAATTTTCCATACGGCGCCCCCTAAGCCTTATTCTGGATCTCTGGAATTTCCCGTGATGCCCGCGATGCCGTATTTTGATCCTCGGCGTCGTCCTGAGTGTTTTTGTTACGGCCCCGAGGCCCAGGAAGGACCCCCGGAGCCCGAAAGTAGCGAAAAACCGCCCGTCGCAAGTTTTGCCACAACCCGAGGGGGCACGTTTTTGTTCCGCAGCTAGGCGGCGCGCCCAGGGGGGAAGTGAGAAGGAGAAGGCCTTCTCAGAATGCTCGGCAGTTCCCAGGACTTCTGGGAAGTTTTCCAAGCTTCCCATGAGGACGGACAAAAACTTCTCAGAAGGCTGGAGGCCTTCTGAGAAGTCCCGCCGCCTTCTGAGAAGGCCTTCTCCACAGACCCCCGACGTCATGAATTTTTCATGACGTCGACCCCCAGCGGTCTGGACCTATTCCCCGGGACCGGTTTTTCGTCCTGAGTCGTTTTTTGACGGTCCCGAGGGCCGGTAAGGGCCCCCAGAGGCCAAAAATCATGAAAAACCTCCCGTCGTGATTTTTGTCATACCTCGAGGGGGTCTGGGTCCTTCTCAGTTCCCCCCCTCGCTCGCCCCCGAGCAGCGTCGGCCCTCAGGGTCGCGGCGGCGTGGCCGCGGCCGCGGCCCCACGCCCGGGCGAGCGCGGCGAGCGCCCAGGCCGCGAGGCCCGCCGCCAGCGGGGCGCCGAGCAGCGCCGCCGGGGGGCTGCGGCACGAGGCGGGGAAGTGCCCCCCCAGGAGTGCTCGCGTCGCGGCAGAAGGCCAAGGAGGAGGAGTAGGGGGAGGAGGAGGAGGAGGAGGAGGAGGAGGAGGAGGAGGAGGAGGAGGAGGAGGAGGAGGAGGAGGAGGAGGAGGAGGAGGGGAGGAGGGGGAGAGGAGGAGGAGGAGGAGGAGGAGGGAGGAGGAGGAGGAGGAGGAGGAGGAGGAGGAGGAGGAGGAGGAGGAGGAGGAGGAGGAGGAAGAGGAGGGGGAGGTGGGGGAGAAGGAGGAGGCCAGACAAGGTCGCTTCTTTGATGAACAGATCACGACGGGATGGTTTTTGTTGGCCCTCTTAGGCCTCTCGGGGGGGCCCTCGCCGGGGCCTCGGACCGTCCAAAAAAGCGGCAGGATGAAAAACTGGTCCCGGGGAAAGGGTCCGAACTTCTGGGGACCGCGCGTTGAAAACATCAGGACGTCGCGTGTGGGGTTGCAAATTTGTTTCTACAATGAACGGGCAATTTCGCCCAGTTTCGGGCCCCTCAAGGTACGATCCGGCTCGAAAAATAATACAGGAAGATGGGGTCCGGGGCTCCAGTGGTGATGTTTTGCGATGATGCATTTTTTTTGCAACGTCGGATCTCACGAAAATCGCGACAGGAGGTCCCAGACAGCCAATGTCTCACAAACATCGGGGCAGAAGGTTTCATCATGTTTGGCCTCTCGGGGCCCTTGCCGGGCCTCGGGGCCGTCAAACAATGAATCAGCAGAATGAAAAATCGGTCCCGGGGCAGTGGTCGAGAGGGACGGGTCGGGATCGTATCGCACCTCTCCTCTCGAAGCCTACCCATCGGCTTTGTGTACGTTCCTCGCGGCAGTTTTCCTGGAGAGTTGTCCTGCTGGGATCCAGGGGGGCCTACTTGGCGATGAGGTTAGGTATCTGAGGAAGCCAAAAACATGTTCACCCCCTTGGACTCGTATGCCGATTTCCTTCAGCAGCATGACTGTGCGTTGGGAGGCGCCGCGACGTCATGAGCTGCGTTGCCCTCTGGCGCTTGTTTGCCAAATCACGTGGTTGCTTCGGAGTCACACCTTCAGCAGCGCCAGCAGCAGGAATAGGAGGAGGAGAAGGAGGAGGAGGAGAAGGAGGGGGAGGAGGGGCGGCAACCCAAACTTGGGGCGGCTGGAGGTCTGGGCATTGGCCCGAGCTTTCTGGGCCCCTGGAAGCCCCAAGCCAGTTCTATGTGCCATCCCGAATGTTGTTGCTGGCCCCGTGCCCCGGCCAGGGACCCCGGAGGATCCACCGCGATGCGACGGCAGCAGCTTGCGCGCTCGAGCTCGGCCTCCCGCGGCCCCCGACAGGCGCGCATCAACGGTCGCTCTTGCCTATGGTGACTCTTGCGCGTTTTCAATATTCGATGTTTGTCGCGATGCGAGCATGTCTGGGGGTATACGCCCGCCTCGGACTGGGGGGCCGGGGACAGGGCTCGTCGTCCTCCTCGTCGCCGTCCTCGCTGTCCGAGGAGGGGCAGGCTTCGAAGCCCTCCGACATGCTTCTGAGCTCCCTGGGCGTCGATGGGGTCCCGGGCGAGCAGCGGGCGGGCGCGGCTGGCGAAGCTGCTTGAGGGGCCGCCTGGGCCAGAGGGGAGCAGCGAGGAGCCTGACATGAGAAGGAGGAGGAGGAGCAGGCCTTTCGAGAGGAGGAGGAGCAGGAGCAGGATGAGGAGGAGGAGGAGGAGAACTTTCGGTCTCTTGGGGCAGGAGCAGGAGCAAGAGGAGCAGGAGGAGAACTTTCGGCCTCTTGGGGCCCACGCTGGGCCCTGGAACCGTGGAGCAACAGCCCAGGATGCCGAGCCGGCCGTCCCTGGGCAGAGGGTGGGGGCTTCGGGGGGCTCCGTATCGAAGAACAATCAGGGCATCGGGTGTGTGGGAGGGGAAGGGCCTTGAAGGGGGGGGCAGGAGGAGGGCAATGAACAGCGCAGGGTGGGAAGGAGAGGAGGAGGAGGAGGAGGAGGAGGAGGAGGAGGAGGAGGAGGCGGAGGAGGAGGAGGAGCGGAGGAGGAGGAGGTGCTGGCGGAGTAGAAGGACCACGACCACAATGACGACGACAAGCTTTCGCAAGGGCCCCTCTCTCTCTGACTGCATGCCCACGTCGAACCCCCTGTGCGGTAACATCTTCTGCTGCCTACTCAGGCCCACCCCCAATTCATGAGAATCTTGGCCAACTCCTGACACGAATAACTCATCCGTGCACGCAACAAAAATAAATCTACGTAGCACCCCGCAATTGCGGATAAGAGTGAGGGGGCGGGCGCGGGCGACGCGGGCGTCGTCGAGCCGGCGGACCTCGTGGCCCCCACCTTCCTTGTCGATGGCGCTCTCCTCCTCCTCCTCCTCCTCCTCCTCCTCCTCCTCCTCCTCTTCCTCGTCCTCGTCCTCGTCCTCATCGTCATCGTCATCCTCCTCCTCTACCTCGTCCTCCTCCTCCTCCTCTTCTCCCTCGTCCTCCCTCTCCCCCCCTCGTCCTTTCATCATTGTCCTCCCATTGTCGTCCTCCCCCTCATCGGCCTCCATCATCGTCCTCCCATTGTCGCCCATCATCATCATCCTCCCCCTCCTCCCCCTCCTCGTCCTCCTCGTCCCCCTCCTCCCCCTCCTCCTCCTTTTCTTTCTCCACATTCTCCTTACATGCTCTCTTGTTCCGCGTCCTCCTCGTCCCCTGTTTACTCCTCCTGCCTCCCCCTCCTTTCCCAAGATAACTGCAACGCAATCCTTTTTTCCACTTTATGCTCCCCGACTTCTCTGATCAAGGCAACTCGCCAGGTCAAAGTTGCTGGACGGGCTGGTGTGGATGCGCGGGGCTTGAAGGGGCCCTTGCGGGCTCAGACGGCATGCACAAATCCGCCGCCGCGCTTGTGCGGCATTGGTTTGTTCAGTGAAAGTGGTTTGGGTCGCGGGTGGGTCGCGGGCTCTCCACCTCCACCTGGAAGGAATGCAAAAGCAGCCCGCCGCAGGCGCCAAAATAAATTGTTTGTGCACTGAACGTGGTTTGGGTCGTGGGTGGGCCGCGGGTTCTCCACCGGGAGCGAATGCAAAAGATGCCCGCCGCAGGCGCCGAAAAATGTGGTTTGTACCCTGAACGTGGTCGCGGGTGGGCCGCGGGCTCTCCACCTGAAACGAATGCAAAAGATGCCCGCCGCAGGCGCCGAAAAATGCGGTTTGTACCCTGAACATGGTTTGGGTCGCGGGTTGGTCGCGAGTTGGTCACGGGGTGGGTCGCGGGCTCTCCACCTGGAAGGAATGCAAAAAAAGCCCGCCGCAGGCGCCGAAAATGGTGGTTTGTACCTTGAACGTGGTTTGGGTCGAAGGTGGGTCGCGGGTGGGTCGCGGGGTGGGTCGCGGGTGGGTCGCGGGTGGGTCGCGGGTGGGTCGCGGGTGGGTCGCGGGGTGGGCCGCGGGCGGGTCGCGGGGTGGGTCGCGGGGTGGGTCGCGGGATGGGTCGCGGGGTGGGTCGCGGGGTGGGTCGCGGGGGGTGGGTCGCGGGGTGGGTAGCGGGTGGGTCGCGGGTGGGTCGCGGGTGGGTCGCGGGGTGGGTCGCGGGTTGGGTCGCGGGTGGGTCGCGGGGCGGGTTGCGGGTGGGACGACGACAACAAACAACAACAACAACAACAACAACAACAAACAACAGCAACAACGAGAATCCGCACCGCGGAATTCCACTTCAGCCACGCACCCAGGGACAGTGAATGACCGTTCGGCCCCCTCACTCTGATTTGCTGGTTCAGACATTCGCTGTGTCATTGTAAATGGCATGGCGTTTGGAAAGCATGTGAACTTGCTCTGGAACGCACTCGGTGACATGTGCGTGACTCTCAAGCGGATGAAGACGCGAACGAACAGATGCCTGCACAATGTCCCTTCAAATCGACCCAGGGCTACTGTTTGACACATAAAGATGAAACTTAACTCAATACCAAGCATGATGCTAAAGCTGATGCTACCGACCATACTCAACCAACCACGGAACGCGTGCATTTTGATTGCAAAGCGTG